AAAAAAAAAAATTTGTCCCGACGACCTATCTTCTATGCGCAAAAGGCTACCGTATTTAAAAATATGCTATTTTTTATTAAAATTCTAGGTTTTGTATTTTATTTTATTTTAAAATATTTTATTAGGGGAATAAACTGACTTTCATGAATATTATATAATTTCATTGACATAGAATAAAGTTCATAAGACATATGATATTATACTTATTAACATTTTTTACTTTTTTAAAGTCGAAAAAGTAATTTTTAAATTTGAGTTAGCTTAAATAGCCAATTTTATCATGCAACAAAAAGCAACGAATAGTTGCCGAATGGGTAACACCTTGATCTTTCACGCCTAGGGTACGAGGTTCAAATCCGTTTGTGGCTTCTAAAATTTTGCATTTTTTTTTTGAGTTAAAATAGAATTTTCAAATCATTTGATATTTATCTCATTTAGATTCAATAATTTCAATAAATATAAATCTTATCACTATAGTCTCCCCCCCTCGTATTATAATTATATTTTTGATAATATGCTCAATTGAGTAAATCTTTTTAACTACTTTGGTTTGATTNTGGCTACGATTTATTTTGCCAACCCTCACTAGACCTACTCCCTCACTAGACCTACTTTTTTCAACGATATGTCAAATGATTCATTTAAGTTTATGATATTTAAGTTATTACTCTTAAAAATCAAAAAAAATATTCCTTATTCAAATAAAAAGTAGCTTAACTAGATTTGTCCATACAAACAATTAAAATCATTAATTTTTAATATTCTTAAATTATTTATTGTCGAATTAAATTTGATATGATAAAAGTATTCAACTACAAAAGTAAATAATTTTACTTTATAATTTATTAATTTTTTAACTCTATTTCTGTGTGCTACTACCAGTCTATAATATGCCAAATTTTTTAGTAATATGTTGCTATATAAATCATAAATTTAAAAAAAAAATGATTTTTAGTTTCACCTGAAGTTAACGATGGAGTTTTACAATTATAATTATATTTTTGATAATATGCTCAATTGAGTAAATCTTTTTAACTACTTTGGTTTGATTGGTTCATTTAATTAAAGTAAATTATTAAAATTAATTAAGTTCTGAATATTTCAATTGCAGAATTTTTTGAAACACCAAAAGTTATTAGGATATGATTACTATTCTTTCTATTTCAGTTATCTTTTACGATAAAAATGCCAAAATATCGAATTTTTCTGACAAATGTACTGTAATTAGTAATTATAAAATTTCCAGATTGCATATTAATCTTAAAAATTTCATTTTTTTCAATTTAATAATGTCAATTTCAAACTTGCAAGTTGAACTATAAGTTATGGTAACAAATTCATTTTTTAGCTTCGATGCGAAGCTGAGAAGGTATTTTTCATTAAAACTTTCACTTTAAAAGACAATAAAAAATAGGTTCAAAATGATTACCTTTAACATATTAAAAATCAAAATCAGTATTAATTTAATACAATTTTTTTTGTTCTTAATTATTTTTTTTTATATGTAAATACTTATTTTTTAATAATAAGTAATAATATTAAAACTTAGAAGTAATAGAAAAAGTTTAATTGCACATTTGAAAACATCACGAAAAGTTTATTTAGAAAAGTATATTTTTTTTCTGATGAAAGTTCCTTTTGTTTAGTGTATTTATTCATAAGTAACAAAATTTTTTTATTAAAAAGTATTGCATAAATTCCTTTAAATTTGTATACGCATTAAAAGTATATGAATATACAACTCCTTTTTATTTTTATAATATCTCCGTAAAAATTACAATATTATATTATTGAATACCACTTTCATACTCAATTTAATTACTGTAATTATTATGTATTCATATATTATAGTTATAAATCGGGGTAAAATTAAGGGAATAAGTGTTATTGTTGTTTTTGAAATAATCTACCAATTTCATTTTTTTCTATTTAATAATATCTATTTCAAACTTGCAAGTTGAGTTAAAAGTTATGGTAATAAATTCATTTTTTTTTTATTAAAACTTTCACTTTAAAGGACAAAAAGAAGTTGGTTCAAAATGATTACTTTTAACATATTAAAAATCGATAATAATTTGAAAATAATTAATTATAAAAATTATATAATATATAATTAAACGAATTACTAATCTGGATATAATTAAGGAAATAGGAGTTGATGTTGGGTTGGGTTGGTTACATTTTTAACTTTATAATGCTATAACTCATTGAAAAGTGTATGAATCAACACAATTTTTTTATGAGAAATAATATTTTTTAATAATCCCTTTTTCATTCGACATACTTTATCTTAATCAGGGTATTAATGAGGAACTAGCAGATCATGTAGCTTTTGGAATAAAACACCAATTTCTTAGAATTAAACACTATCTACAGATTTGCATCGAAGCGTTTCTTATGATAGTAATTTTAATCACTATCAGATTAAATCTATACTGGACCCAACTATGCAACGTCCCCACTATGTCGCGACTCCACTGTGCTGGGTTTTACAATTAGTTTTTGTGATTTATTTAAATATATTTATTTATTCAATTATTCTAGGTAAAATTGTTAGAAATAATTGAAAATTTATCATTTATGGCTGTGTATTATGCAACTAATAGTTCAATTTATCAAGATCGTATTTTAGAAAGAATAGTATTTAAATTTTTATTTGATCATGAGTATAATGTGAGGCATGCTGCAGCTAAATGTTTAGTAAGGTATGTACTATCGATTTTTACATTTGTAACTATAAATTTATTTATTCACTCCTTTTTCTTCTCACCTTAATTTCAACTACCTGGGGCTGGCCACCCTTATCCTAAACTTCCACTTGACACAATCTCCCACATCATCTACTCTCACATCAGCTGTCCTCATATCGCATTCAATAGCATCCCTCCATCTCTTTTTTGGCATTCCTCTACCTTTTCTTCCTTCAACATTAATTTCTATAACTGTTCTTTCAGCTTTCGATTCTTCTCTTCTCATAACATGACCAAACTATCTAAGTCTATTTTGTCTCATCCACAATTGACGCTACACCTATACTCCCTCTTATATGCTAGTTCCTTATCCTATCTTCTCTAGTCACTTCACTCATCCATCTAAGCATTCTCATCCCTGATACACTCATTCTTTGCTCTACTTTCTTATTAACCGTCCAGTATTCTGAACCATACATCATAGCTGGTCTCACTACAGTCTTGTAGAATTTACCTTTCAGCCTCATTGGAATTCTTTTATCGCATAAGACACCAGACACTTCTCTCCACTTCAACCACCCGCACTTAATCCTGTGTCTTACACCCTCGTCAATACCATTGCTCTTTTGCACAACTGACCCTAAATACTTAAAACTTTCCACCTCTCCAATCACATCCTCTCCTATTGTCACTGATCTCCTAATTTCATCTAATTTGTGTTCTCCTTTGTCAAACTCGTTCTCTATATACTCTGTTTTACGTCTGCTTATTCTTAAACCCTTTTCTTCAAGAGCTGATCTCCACACCTAAAGCTTTTGATTAAATTAAGTAATTAATTTGTTTTAATTTATTTATTTGTTCACTGTTTTAGAAAATAATAATGTATTATAAAAATTTATAGTTACAACTCTAATCATCAATATAATTTTTACCTTTAAAATATTGATTTTTTTGTTAATAGTGTTGTTCGTAATTGCTACTTTAAAATTGACTATAAACAACAAGATGTTGTAACATCTTGGGTGTGTGTTAATACGAATTTGTATTGCTCAGATTTTATTCAACTTCAAAATAGTAAGTAATTATTATTTTAGAAGATATAAATGTGGAATTATGTCAATATACATTTATTTTTTTTATGGTAAATACTAAAATTTTTAAATGAATATAATAAAATATGCAGAAAACATGAGCTAATTTTTTTGTTTTTTTATTTTGATAAATAGGTTTTATTATAAAATCTTTTTGGCTATAATAAGTCCTAATGGACAAATGGATGAAAGAAATATTTTTTATTTATACAGGAATTGAAAAAAATAGCTTTTTATAATTACTAATTTAATTGTGTCAAATTTATTGTTGAAAAAAATATATTCGGTTATTAGTGTGTATTTCACCAATGATCAATTTTTAAATTGTACATAAATAAAATGTGTCTTATTTCAAATATTATAAAACATAATTTAAGTTAATATTGCATCAAATTGTATTTAATAGTTTCATTAGACCTAAAAAAAATGTTGATACCAATATCTAATTCTAATGTTCAATATAAATGTCTGGTAGGACCTTTTATCTATTGAAACTTAATATTTAAACTGTAAAGTATACTTATTTACAATATTCTATAAATATTATCTTTAATTTTTAGTAGAAAGTAATTCATTATTCCCTGGGAGAAATCTTGATTTAATAACTCAACATTTAATATAATTTTTTGAAGACTTAAACATTTTGAATGTTTTTATATGTAAAATATTGATTTTAGATGAAGAATATGATATATATGGAGAAGCATCATTATCACGGCATATTAATCGCCTAACTAATGAACTTATAAAAAACCAATCTATGTTTGTTGTGGTTAGTTTGATAGTAACTGACAAAATTAAATAATAACATTTAAATATATTTTTTTTAGGCTGGATGCATTGAAGCATTGACATTGCTTTCTGATACTTATAAATCCCCAGCATATCCTAAAGCATGGAAATGTATTATTACTACTAAAGGATTTAATCACAATTCAACTACTAGGTAATACTTATCTTTGTGAAATATATACTTTAATATTTTATTACTATCTATCTTTTATAGTCCATGTTCTGCATTATTTACATCAGTACTTTCTTCATTAATATCATCAACAGCTCTTGATTTAGAAATGCATTCTTGGATGTTAAAACTTTCTTCAAATTTAGTTATAGGTGAGGTTTGAAAAAATCATCTTTCATTTTATAAACAAAAGTATTTTAGTCGATCAAACATTTTTATTTATAATTCAATTAAAAAAATAAAATAAAATGATTTTTTGCCTAATAAATAGTTTTTGTGAATGATTTATATTCTTTTCAATTTGCAACAATTAAAAAATTAACTTTAATTAAATCTTCTAATTTTTAATTTTTTACAACTATTTATAATAGTTGTGTAATATTAAATTAATAAATCATTTAGTGTGTTTTTAAAATATATATATATATATATATATTTTTTTTTTAGAAATAGCTAACGCTTTGCAAAGTTTGAAGGATCATAAAATTGAATTTGGTAGATATAATTGTTGGTTTGAGGATGAAAAAGTTAGTCTATGCTTTAGTTTGAACATATTATTTGACACTTATAAAAAATTAACTTTTTTTTTTAGCTAAAAAAACAATTTAATGAATTATGGACTCATGTCCTTAAATTGTTAAATATGTTTCGTAATGTGATATTAGATTATAAAGAACCTACTAACAAACCAATATCAATACAAATATCAGGTAATTTTATATTACTAAAGATTAATTTATTTATAATTTAGTAATAACTATTTAGCAGAAGACATTGAAAAGGATAAGAAAACATCAAAAGGTATGTTTTCAAGGAGTAATTATTATTATAAATTACAATCCATCACTAAAGCCTCTTATAATAATTACAAGGTAAAAATGATATTCTTATTATTATTTTTGATTAATTAAATTGATTGTTTTGTATTTTTAGTTATCTCTTGAAAATATAAGTAATGAGAAATTCATAAAATTTCTAGAATCGCTCCTTAATGCTCTTAAAGTACTCCTTAAGTATATTGCACCAACCGAATGTAACCAACATGCTGAACGTATTATTCTTTGTCTTACTTCAGTAGCTAATTTAGTTCCTGGTTATAGCTCTCAAGTTTTAGCAGAGGTATAAGTATATATCTATAAATTAACTAAAAATTATTAAGGTATTTTATTTTCAGCTATTTAAGTGCATAGTACCAAAGCATGACATAATGAAAAATCATCTATATATTAAAAAGGAGGACCAAGTGATTCAAAAAAATAATTTATTAATTCCATGTTTATACACTCAAGCATTAGAAACTCCTTATGGATATATTTCTGGTTTTATTGATTCTAAAATAAAAACTTCTCAGTTTGCAAACAAACGTTGGGAAGAACATGTTCGTAGAACTTCAATTGGTGGACAATTATTTATACCCAAATCTGACAATTTAGACTTTTCTTCGAACCTTAAATTTTTTCGACCCTTAATTATTAAATTTTTGAAGGTATATTTTTTCATTTAGTGGCTCTTTTTTTTAAATTTAATTAATAGTAAAATAAACTTATGTTATACGGTATTTAATAACAAATATATTAATAAATAAATATATTTTTAGGAATATGTCATTACTGGAGATATACTAGTGCAATCAAATATATTAGAGCTTCTCATTATTTTAATTCAGTTTAAAATAAATTTCAATATTATTGATCCAAAACAAGAATTTTTAAATTTTTTGTTTAATCAGTTTGATTATCTAGAAAATGGTCTAATAAGGTTTGTTTTATTAACATTGTTTCTTTATGATAATTCTTTATGTTTTTTGTAATTTATTTTGTTCATTTATACATCTAGAAATCCTGAAGTTTTAATTTCAAAAATATTTAATTTATTTATCCATTTATCAACAGACAAAAGTAAATCAAATAATTTAATTTCTGAAGCTATTCGGTTATGTGATGGACTTATGGCTAGTGGATATCCTCCTGATTTATATTGTATGTACATTTCTTTTGAGTTATTATACTTATAGTAGACATATTTAAATTAAGTGTTTTCAGCTGAATTTTAGCAACTTTACTTACAGAGTGACTGACCTAAATTGAAAAGTTAAATAAATTATTATTGATAATTATTTTTATTCTTGTGTACTACAGTTTTGATATCTTAAATCATTATTTTCTGTTTATACATATTAAAGTAATATGAGGATGAAAAAAAGTTTCACTTGTTAATTTTTGGCATGATAACTACTGCAAAAAAGGGCATTTTTAATTTCCTGATTTGGACATATGTCGTTTACATTAAATTTACTAAGTAAATAAAAAGTTAAATTATAATGAATCAATCATATAAGTCTTATATGATTGATTAATTATAATTAACTTTATTGATTGTAGATATTATATCAAAAGAAATCCAAGTTTTTACAATAACAATGTAGTAATTTTAAATGATTTTATTATAGCATTATTTCAACTCTAGTTAATATTATTGAGACTACTAAATATAATTTTGTTACTATTATGAAATAAATAATTTATATTTAACTTTTATTCACTAATCTCTGAATCTCTGAATAAATCCATAATTTTATTTGTAAATTATTAATCAGTATTTTAACATGTGCTTATCATAGTACTTATTGTAGTTTTCAATGCAATACCACATATCTTCAAAATAGAATTTTTTTTAATATCTGTAAACATATTTTACTGATTTAAGAATGACGATATTGTCATTAATATATGTGCAGTGTCATATATCTAAGACACAAAAAAGTGAGATATTGTTTATATGGTGTTAACATAATACTACATGGAACATATTTTATATATTATCATTTACAATTCAATAACATGTTTCTAGACATTTGAAAAAAAAATTATTTTTTAATTGCATTGACAATGACATTTGTTCAATTCTTTTTTTAAAGTTATCTTACTGGATTAATTTTGAGATTTTCAATCAAATTTTAGTGCTAAATTAATTTTTTAAATATTACTAATAGTTCTAGTTTAATTAAAATAATTTAAATGTCATTTTTAGGTATTCCAGCTATATTGCCTATAGTTGAGAATGTATATGTATTGAAATCTGCATTTATGGTGAATTCCTCTGATTTAAAAGAACTAGATGCCCAAAGAGAAATGTTATTTGCTATGTTATTGAGATTATGTCAATTTAATGAAGTCAGTTAAGCTCAATTTTTTTTAGTTTTGTTGTATTTTAATTATGTATAATAAAGATTTGTACTATTTTCAAAAAGGTTATTAATATTCTTAGCTTGGTTATAATGGAGGGCAGTGAGGAAAAATGGAGAAAACAGTCTAGACAACTGTTTGACACACTTTATACTTCATTTGGAGGATGTAAAATTCAAGCATCATTGCCTTCTTTACTTAATTTGCTATTAACTTTGCATCCATCTTCTTATAGTCTTCAACAACAACTCCATGTTTTGTTTAATACTTGTTATGATGTTGAAGTATGAAATATAGTTCTTTTAATAACTTTATATTTTCTAATCTATGGTGTGTCTTACATTTAAGAAATGTACTTTGGAACCTTGGTTGAATACAATACTCTCAAATTTGATTATTATATGTATTCAAAGATCTGAAGACGTACTTCTACAAAGGATTTCCGAAATTGATATATTTATTAGTTCTAATTTATTTGAACTTGCTACACAAACTGATCCATTAAATGCATCAATGTTTAACAAGAACCGTCTTCCTGGTGAACAAACATTTGCTAAGTAAAATTTTATTATTAATAGGTATTAAATACTATTTTGTCTTAAGAAATGGGACCAATAAATTGATGGAAACTAGAATAAATACTTTATTTAATTTCCTTCTCCTTAAAAAATATTTTTATTCAACATATAACATAAAAGCTTAGCATTTTAAAGTCTAATTTCTGATTGGGATTATAGCTAATGCATAGAATGGAAAATATTTTAAGTTTGCCATTTTAGAATAATTTGATAGTTAATTGTGTTACAGGTTTTTATTTAGAGTGATTTATTTATCTGTTAATGATATAAAAATATTTCATGGACAACCTCAAACTAATAGTGATAGTAAAGTTGGTCTATTATCAGAGTTTTTGTTAACTTGTCAGTATATAGTTCAATCTGGTAATTTTTTTATAATGTGAAATTTTAAGATTGAATTTATTTACTGTTTTGTTGTTTATGTAGGTAATTTTCAAAAAGTTGTTAAAGCATTACAAATTTTAATGAACGATCCAGTATTCAAAATATTACATAAAAACATTTTTACTTTAACTATGATGTACCCTATTCTTGTTTTACATTGGGTACAATTTATTGGACTTTTGGAGTATGATAATATTGATTTTTGGAAATCATTAATTTGGATAAACTCTGTTGAAAAAGAGTAATTTTTTTTATAAATATATTAAAAACTTTTGTCTATATATAAATTGAATTTTTTTATTTATAGGAAAAAAAACTGTTTTTATTTAAGTGTAGTTCAAAAAGGTTGTTTCTTAATCTTATGTGAGATATTAGTGAGTATAGTTAAATTTTAATCATTATTGAAAATTATTATTTTTCGATTTATCCATTACTTACATTTTATTTTTTTAAGTTTTGAAAGTACTAGTCTTATAACCCTAATTAAAATATATTTAAAACTTAAATTTCAGAACTAAAATTTAATGTCGATTCTTACATGGTCAAAAACTGATTTTTTAATGCCATTGATTTAAAATAAACAATTAATTACATTTACTCATTTTTATTTAAACACAATAAGTACTGGAAAGTTAAATTTTAATTTATTTTAAATTTTTTAGGAAAAATTCAGGTACTTTGATGGCTTTTATATCATATACATTATATATATATATATATTAGGGTGGTCCTTAGCTTATAGGTGTAGAATTATTTTTTTCGAAATTTGATCGGGCCACCCCCCCAATTTGTTCTAAACTATAAAAAAATGGTTCATACTTAATTTCGTTAATTTTGGTCAACCCTAAGCCGTGCCTCAAGAGGGTTGAAAACTCGGTAATAAGGGTAGTTTTTCAGTTATTGTGGTTTATCTCAAAAACTATGACATTTACGTAAACGTTTATAAGAAAAAAATTGTAGATATTAATATTCTAAATAATAAAGTTCATTACTAAAAAAGTCGTAAGTCAAGTATTTACCTCGTAAAAGTTAAAAGTTCAAACATTTTTTAAAAAAGGTGTTTTTCAGTTTTTTGCGATTAAATCCGAAAGTATTAACTATAGAAAAAAATAACTTATTATAAAATGTTTTTAAAATTAAATTTACAATAATATTTGTTATAAGTGTTTTTCTCATAAAACGACTCATTCTATCACAAAATAACAAAAACTCGGTTTTATACTATAATAAATTTTATATTGACAAAATAATAGATTATTTTGGCTTATTTATAAGAAAAATAAAAATAACACACTTCCAGTACATATTAGCTTGAATGTGAAACTGAGAAAGTATTTATTTATTTTTTTATGTGTTATAAAAAATATTGTAATTTTAATAAATGCAAGGTTAAAATTTCGCTATAAAATAAATAATATTAAAATTCTCTAGAGAGAGTACTTCTTTTTGCATCAGGATATTTCTTACGATAGTCATAAACCGATTGTATTAAAAATTGTTTTTGTTCTTCATCTTTAGTAATTATTTCATTGAAATTACTTATTAATTGAACTCCTCGTTCAGCTGCATCGTTGATGACTTTCAACTGATTAAATAAAGATTTACCTTTTTGGTAATTATCATTTTCATTCCAATCTAACGGATTTTGGTTCAAAAAATCGGTGGCAATGTTAAATCTTTCAAATAACTTTATCGATGAACTATTTATAAATTCATAAATTTGTTTATTTTTTAGAGACGCATAATTATTTATTGGAACAACATAACGCTTAATTACATTTGCATTGTCATCGTGATTTTTTAGTGACTGTACCATTTTTAATTTCATTGATAAAGGAATATTTGAATCAAAAAATGATAATCCTGCTACTTCGGGAGTTAGGTACCACAAGTGACCACAAAATTTTTTTAATGCAATTTTTGATATATTTTTATCTATTTTTTCATATTCAATCAAACAATGAACAAATGAAAGATCTTGATAAGGTGCTTCAATTGCAACATGTGAGCGAAACCATCTTTCAATATAAACACATATTATAAATATACAAATATCTCGACATGCTCTTTCTTGTTCTGCGGTCATATGAAATTGTTTTCTAAAAATATATATTTTTAGGCAATATATCGCTTTGGACATCCATCGGGCGTGATGGAATGCTCCCGGAACTCGAAACAATATACTGCGATGTGGGATTCCTCCTAGGAAAATTATAGACAGTTCTAATAGCTCTCTATAATCTTCTCTAAACTGTTTTTCTTTTGAAATAATTAGCGAAAATTCAAGTACACGTTGTTTGGCATCGCATAATTTTTCACTAACATATTTATCTTCTATACCTGGATTGAATTTATTTGTATTTATGTTACTCCAGCCTTCTTGGAATTTTTTAAAAAGTTGAACATTAGGCCCTGAGGTTGAACCAAATTTTTCTTCGAAAATACTTTTTAAAACAATTTCATAAATATGATGTCGACAAAGTAAATACAACAAATCTTTTTCAAGACGTTGTTCTAATAATATACATGTGCCTTTTAATCTACCGGTGTTTGAAGACGTAGTATCACAGCAAACAGCTACAACTGAGTTTTTTAGGCCCCATTCTTCAATTGATTCATATACTTTTATAGCCTGTTCCTCTCCAGTTCCTTCTGATAATTTTGGTACACCTAGAAGTTGTTCATGATCCCCACTAGAAATAATTATTGGTAATCGGTCAACAAGATCTTTTGAAGTTAACGAAGGAAGCAATTTGCCATCCCAGTGTACGACTGCATTACTAAATAAGCTAATTTGAAAATTTTCACGTAAATTTAAAGCTCGTTCTTTACGTAACTTTTCACGTTCTCTATGTATTGACGAACGATTTATTACCAAACTATCAACGTTTTGACCAAATGCTTCAGCCGCTGCCATAAGTAAATGAGTGGCGTCTCTGTCACTGATCATACATCTATCCAATGCAGCTACAAGTTTGTTAGTGAGAAACTGTTTTGAAGCTCGTTTACTAGTAGATGGACCAGGTTCACATAATGTTTTCTCAAAAATTAAATCATCATTGGTCGACATGATTTGACTATCATCGTCAGTGTCACTTTCTGACGATCCTGAATAAAACTTAACTGTATCATCTGCAATTATTATTCATAAACAATATAATATAATAGAACATTTATAAGTTAATTAAACACTTACACGATGCTTTTATTTCATCATAAGTACGTTTTTTTCTTTTTTCTGTTTTTTCAAAGCGTAAATACTTTTTTTGTTCAGCTTGATATGAATCATAATCGATTCCACTCAACGATCCCGGACGACCTTTTTCACGTTGACGAATTAAAAATTGTTTATCCAACTCAATACTCATCAGATTCATAGCGTCAGCATGTGCTATATCAAAAAGGTCGTCAAATTTATCGATAAAACAATTTTCTTTTTTTTTTTGAGTATCAGTTTGTCGTGATGCATTTTTTTGCAAACTTCGCCATTCGTCGTAAATTGCTTCCAATTTTAATATACAGTGACGTACTTCACGAGTTGGAATGCGAGCTTTTTGCCAAAATATTAAAACCTCATCTATTACTAATCGTGCACTATCACGAATGCTTAATTTGACTTCACGTATATTATGAAACAATACTCTAAGAACTTGTATATTAGAAGGTAATTTACAGCCAAAAATTTGATGGACAGTATGACCTAATAAATAAATCTGTTTACGCAAATTTACTTTGTGTGACATATTACAACACTACTTTTAATATTAAATAATAAAAGAAAAACGTAGAAAATAACAAAAATTACACTTAATCAGCGTTAAAACGAACAAAATATAAACAAAAACTTGGTACCAAGCCCGTTCAAATGCTGCAATAGGTATTTGCGAGTATAAACGAGTTTTAAACTATTGTAATAGTATAATTTTACTTATTGGTTACAATCAAACCTATTATCGAAGAATTATCAACAGGTGTAATCTAACAATAGGTGACAAAAATATATTAATTTTATATGATTTTGATAATTTTTAAAAACAGATAGTGAAACATTTAAGATTCTAAATCAATAATGATACCTAAAAAGCTTGATAAAATAAAACACGTTTTGATACCTATACAATAAGATTAAAAATAAAAATCAACTTTTTTTTTAAACATTACACAATGAGAATACTGATGAGAGGATTACCTCGTTGACATAAATAAGCCAAAATAATCTATTATTTTGTCAATATAAAATTTATTATAGTATAAAACCGAGTTTTTGTTATTTTGTGATAGAATGAGTCGTTTTATGAGAAAAACACTTATAACAAATATTATTGTAAATTTAATTTTAAAAACATTTTATAATAAGTTATTTTTTTCTATAGTTAATACTTTCGGATTTAATCGCAAAAAACTGAAAAACACCTTTTTTAAAAAATGTTTGAACTTTTAACTTTTACGAGGTAAATACTTGACTTACGACTTTTTTAGTAATGAACTTTATTATTTAGAATATTAATATCTACAATTTTTTTCTTATAAACGTTTACGTAAATGTCATAGTTTTTGAGATAAACCACAATAACTGAAAAACTACCCTTATTACCGAGTTTTCAACCCTCTTGAGGCACGGCTTAGGGTTGACCAAAATTAACGAAATTAAGTATGAACCATTTTTTTATAGTTTAGAACAAATTGGGGGGGTGGCCCGATCAAATTTCGAAAAAAAAAAATAAGGACCACCCTAATATATATATATACAGGATGATTGATTAATTATGCCTCACAAATTAACTCTGAAAATAAAAGAGTTATCTTTTTATTTAGTTTTTATGAAATATTATATTTCTGTCTTGGGCTGCTCTGTGAGTAAAATTACATTTTTATGATCATGCCTTATGCTTTAAATCAGTATCAACTTTCAATTTTCAAATGGTAACCCTATTTTATTTTGTTCAATTATTAGCGAGCTATGATTCATTAAAGTTTAGAGAACATGAATATTACTCACGTTAATTTATAAAAGACACGCAAATTTTACGGATCGTAACTAATAATTGCTACCGGTTTATAATAATACAGTGATCTGTTATATAAAATATAATACACCGATAATATTTATCGGTACACTAAATATTAATGTTTCTGTATTTACCCGAATACTGTTTTATTTGTTATATTTAGAATTTATTAAAATTGATTTTTTTTTTAAATTTTTTTTTTATGCTAAACAAGATTAATAAAAAAAAAAACTGGGTTGCTATTTAAAAAACTTAAGTTGATATTGATTTATGGGTTAAGGGATGAAGATATAATATTTATTTTTCTTGTCAAGTAGCTTAACATTTAAAATTGATTTATAACAATTAAAATAATTACATATATAACACTAATATTTTTGAAGGAAATTCGTGAGGCATAGTTTATCAATCACCATGTATATATATATATATATATATATATATAACTATTTAATAAAAAGAATACTACACAAATCATTTTATGACCATTTAAGTAAAAAAAATGTACATACTTACTCTACCTAGTTTTAATTCCCTTTAGAATTTAAATACCAGCATTCCATTTTTTTTTTAATTAAAAATTTAATTTTTAAACTTCTAGAGTAAAAAAGTTAGTATTGAAAATAATTTGTTAAAATGGTTTTTATCTGAGTGTGCCGTTCAACTTCTACAACTAGGTAATGAGACATCTGCTCAAGAGCTTCTTAATTGTGTTAATAAAGACTCTACTTTAAGTCTTATTCACTTAACAGCTATCAAAGAAAAATGTGTTGGTGATAAGGTAAGTAGTAATGCAAATAAAAAAAATTTCTTAAACTATTTTTAAATTATTATTTTAGATGAATTTAACAAATGAGCTGCTAAGGATTATGAATGAAGCACATCCTGCTCATTGTGGAGAAGTAATCAAATTAATTTTGCCTTCTTTATTAGAAGATCCTCATTTAGCAGTATCCCAGTTTGCTAGCTCCATTGCTATAAGGTTTGTTACATTAGTAGTTAACAATAATAATTTGACTCTTACTATAAAATATAGCATTAAATCAAATTTAGTAAATTATTGAACAAAATTCAATGTTATTGAAATATATTTCAGAAAAATGGAATACCTCTTAACATTACCAATAAGTATTAGTTCTAATCAGTTAAGTAGTGATGAAACTAAAAATATTCTGGATTATTTTAATAAGTCAAATATTTCTATCAAAAAGTAAGCAAAAACAATAGATAATGTTCGCGGTATTAGATTATTTTTCTGTTTTGTTTTTAGTCGTTATTGTATATTGATATCATTATTCAACAAGTTTGGAACTCAGTGTTATAATTTTTCAAGTATAGAAGTTGATCAAAATAAAATAATTAATATATCAGATATAAAAAATGTTGAGATTGATAAAAATTGGTTTTTTGAACAAGTTAAAAGCAGGTAGTTTTAATTTTTTTTTTTAGTTTTACTGAAAAAAAAAAATGTTTTATTTTCTTAATATTAGATGCTGTCGTAATGATTGCCCTAGCTTTGAATCTGCTAAATTGTTGTCAAATCTACCACTGCAAGATGCCGTTTCCATAATGAGATCTGATGGTTTTAACTATGATATTCTACAACATTGTTTTACTATTTCGACCCTCATTTCAATTGAGGTATATTTGTAGTCAGTGAAGACACAGTTATTTTAGAATATTTTCTTTTTATACCTGAGAAGCAGCAAGAAAATAATCCTGGCTTTATGTTTATTTTTAATTATTTCTATTATCTTGTATATTACATGATTCATTAAAAATAAATTTTAGAACTGGAAAAAAATATCTGAAGAATCCTCTAATTTAGAACTTTGTCCATTATTTGTTGCTGCAAGATTTGTACTCATAGAACATGTCCAAAAAACTTGTAGTTCTTTGCCTAAATTCCATCAGGTTAATCGAGTGAATTATTTATTTAAATTAAAGTAAATTTATAACATTGTTTTGTAGATTTTTCTGCCTCTAAATGATAAATTAAATGAAAAACAAGTTTCCTATAAAACTCAAATGTATGAATTGTTTGCTGATAAATCAATGATAAAAGTAATATTACATATTATACCAGCGGTAACAACATTTTTAGAATGTGTCAAAAATTTATCCAAGTATAAAGCTAAAGGTCATATCATATTAATGAATTCAAATAAAACACTTATAAAGTTTACAGTTTTTATTGTTGAAGTGAGTTTATATTATATAAGGACTCGGAGTTAATGAACTTAACACTTTATGTATTTTATGTACACTTTATGTACTTAACACTTAACACTTTAATGAATGAAAAATCGGTAATTCATTTCATGAGGTTTACAAAAAGAATTCAAATTTTTCTCGTAGGAAATTTTTTTACAAGTAATGTTATTTTTAAATTTTTCAGTAGTTAATTTTAATTATAATTTTTTTTATATTAAAATGAAATTTTTTTAAATTATTTTACATTATTCAATATTTTTGGTCATTATTTCCTATTTTGAGTTTTTTATTTCTTGTTATTTTATTATTTTTCATTAGATATTTTACAATTTATGTAATGTTTTTATTAAAAAACCTTAAAAATTAAAATTTTTTTGTATTATTCAAAGTTATTTTTTGTCATATCTCATTTAAAATTATTGATTATTTTTAAGGGTTTTTTTTTTTGTTCTTTAAGTCATTTTTGTTACTTTTATTAGTAATTTATATGGTTCTAAGGTCATTAACTTCTGAGTCCTAGTTATAAATTATCATGATTAATGTTATTCATACGATTATAAAGAACTAAAAAGAAATTATGAAATACTACTTTTTTTACATCACTTGATACTTTTGCAGTTATTAAAATGGAAATTATACACAAAAACTGCAGCAGCCAGTATGATACAACTTCTTTTACAATGCACTTATTGTATTTTTGATGTTTGTGAGTTAGCCAATGATTTTTGTTCAACTGAATTAGGATCAATTGCATCTACTTTAATTTCAGTAGTTGAATTTATCACTGAAGATATACTTCCATTGGAGTCAAACGACTGTAAATATTATAAATAAGTTTATTGAATAGATTATGTACTTTTTCTTATTTTTTTGTAGATTTTAAAGAAAAACCTGAATTATTTTCCATTTGTCAACAGCTATCATCATTGGTTTCTTGGGTAGAAAAATCTTGCCCTAAAACTTCAACTATTTATTTAAATCATATTACATGGTATTTAAATTTTAGTGGAAAACATAAAAATACCAAAAATTGACTTTAATTTATTTTCATAGTTCTATAATACAAATTTTAAGTCGCCATCCATTAATTAATGGCTATGTAAGGGTACCTCCTGAAGCATGGAAAATACTGCAGAATAAATCTAGAGTCCCTAAATTCATTATACCAACAATTCCTGTGGACATATTTAAAGATGTAGATATATTAAAACAGTTCATATCTAGATTAAGTGTTGTAGGTTGGAATAGCAAACAACAATTTGAAGAAACATGGATGATATTATTGAGTGTATTGGTACCATCAAGTGAAGCTAATGTACCTAAAGAAGAATTAATTTCTCAAATTCAGGTGAAATATCAAAAATATAAAAAATATTGTTTTAACTTATTTATAATATTATTGAAAAAATAGGCTAGCAGTACTGCTGTCAATGGAATTACACAGTTATTTAGTCAAGCACTATTTGAAAATTATCCTGGAGATACCACCAAAGATACTTTTTTACATGTCTCTAGAGATTCACCGCTTGAATTATCTCATCATAAGTACTTATATCACTTTTTTTTGTTTTTGAAGATTCATTGTTTTTCTAATTATTTTAAATTAAAAAAAGGTGGTTTATTAAATTAGAAGAAGTTAATGAACTAATTTATGCTACCTATAGTAAGTTTAAGCGCACAGCAAGTAAAGAATGTTTATTAGACCGTTTAGATAATAGAGCCAATATTGAAAGAATTCATGATCAACATAGGTTTGTATGATTGAAAAATACAATTTTGTATTATTGAGTATTTTATCTATTTAATTTATGAATTAGATATAGTTATCACCAATTATCTGTAAAGTTTTTACAATCTATAATAACAGATGATGGGAAGAATATTCGTAATACCACTAATACTAAAGACTCGAGTATGTTGAATTTTTGTTTATTAGTGTAGTACTAAAAACTGTAGTATTTACCACAATATACAGTATTCCCATTAATTATTTTAATTTTTAGATTTTAAGATGCAATTATATGAAAGAATGAAAATTATAAAGGACAGTAGTTTAGACTTAACTTCATGTATATCACTTTTAAAAGAAGTTTTTAATCAGTGGATGGAATCAAAAGTAAATACTTGTTCACCAAATTTTATGCAAAAACATTTTTGATGCTTTAGCAATTGAAAAAAAAATTGTATTATTAAAATTATACTTGTGTATTTCAGATGATTAGAAATTCTTAGTTTGTTACATTAAAAATTATGTAAAAAAATCAACTTTAAAACTTTATGATGATAATTTCCTTGTAAAATAAAACTTTTAGTTTTATTTAAAAGAAAATTATCTAAACTAAAATTGGAAAAAATAAATAACAAAAACATTTTTGAAATTAATAAATTTTGTATTTCAAAAATATTTCAATAAAATTGAATGGGCTAATTTATTGCTGTTAAATAAATAAATATAAAAATTTCTTGAAAAAATTATTATTTTGTTGTAATTTTGTATTGGTATATAATTTTTTTACAATTTTTAATTCAAGTTTATTATTAAATAAATATATTTAGACACGGGGTTCTCAGTCACAAATCAGTGAAATGATCAAGTGTTTACTTGTAATATCAGATTTGTTTACTGAAATTGAACAATATATTTGGATGTTGAATGTGTGTTTAGAATTATCTCAAACACACCATCAAGAAGATATAATTTTGCATCAGTATGTTATTATTGGTGCAGCTAAAGCTATGGCTATTTCTAATGTAACGGTAATGCTCTTTTGAATATTTTCACTTTTCATAATTGTGTATTATTTAATCATTTTTCTAACAAAGATTATAAGATTATATAGATTAATAAAGATTAACTCTTTAAATTTAAATTATGTTTAAAATATTTTTTTTAGTAAAAATTTTATAATTTTGTAATGTTATAAAATATTTTTTTTCTATCATTAATTAGTTAAATTATTCAAAGAAATAATATGATTAAAAAAAAATTAATTTTTAGGATTTGAATAATAGGGAAAAAGTTTTAAAACTAATAGAAAATGGTTTAAAGTCAAATTGTCGATTAACTCAATTAGCTGCTTTGCATGGACTTCTATATTTATTGGAAGGATGTTATAATAGTACATATTTACAAAATAACTTAGAAATAATTCAAATCGCAGTGGATTTTGTTCAGAAACATTTGTGCACTGAATATTCTATGCTGTGTGTATTTTATTATTAATATTGTTTTATACAGGGAAATCAGTTGTTTTAAATAAAGACAAAAATAGAAAATTGTTTCATTACTTACTGAACACCTTAAGTAAAATAAAATTCTGTATATGTATATATTAATGTCTAAATGTAATTATAGATATGAATATGAATGGCAGCTTTGTGTAATATCAATTGCTTTTTATGTCGCTGAACACAATACAAATAATATTGATAATTCTTTGCTCATTTCACTTGAAGGATTGACTAAAGTAGTATCATCATCTAGAAATTTTATTATATATCAAGCTCTCATTCAGGTATAATATTTTTATATTTCATTAATGTTATTTATTTTAATTATTAGTTTTTGTTATTTTTCATTTAAAAATCCTTTTAATATTATTTATTTTGTTATTATAAAGGGGTTCTATAATAAATAAGACAATTTTTTTTAAATTTTATATTATTTTAGAAGTTAACTACAATTTAAAGTATAGACAGGAAATAAATTGTGGATTATGTTAGTGTGATTACTACACAAATCCTAGCTATCCTTCTCTTTCTCGGGGCCATATATAAGAATATCTCCTAAAAAATTATTGTAACAGTTTCTATTGTTTTGTTATTTAATTAGATCATTATTTAATATTAAAGCTAGTTTAATATATTTTTAAAATGAAGTTATTCCTTATAAGTTATAAGAGATGGATGTAATAATTAACAATAATAATATTATGTATTAAATAAAATAATAAATAAATCAAGAACTACGTTCAACTAACAAAATCCAAAAAAAAAAACAAAAAATTTTAAAATCATTTTAAGAAAAAATAAGTAATTAGTGATAACAGAATCACTCTGTAAACATCATACATCTATCTTTTTTTAAATAATACTCTTAATATTTAACAATTGTGTGTTAAATTTAACTATAAAATATAACATTTTTATTTAATACACAAAATAAATACAAGGTCGTCAGAATTTAATGAATAGCAGATTTTTCAATGAAATAAAAATAATATTAATGATTTTTTTGGTTTCTCTTAAATACATGTTTTTCTCAATTGATCAATCATAATGTATTCTTCGTGTTTATTTAGTGTTGTACTAACTGTCATTGGCGTTTTAGGGTAATCATACATTTGGCTCCTATATATAATATGTATTTTAAAATAAAATACATCTTACACAAAAAAAAATGTGTTCATATTTTTTTTTTTGTGGTTCACTAAAGCACTGGCCCCTGTTATTCTCCACTTAGTACAGTCTTATGTTGTCCCTTATACCCTATTTCAAACAATATATTGTTATTGGGTATTTTTTCCAATATACATATAAAAGTCACAATATTATAAAATGTTTTGCTTCTTGAAAAATAAAGATAAAACCGTTATAAGATAAGTAGGATTAAATTTAAAGATTTATCAATTATTGTTAAATTGAAATATGTATCTAAAGAAACAAGAAAAAAATTATTAATATAATTTTTATTTAATTAAAAAATCTGCTAGTTCATTAAATTCTGATGAATCTGTATGGTTTGTGACATTTTTATTTACCAGATTAATTTTTGTCTAGGGTTTTCAAAGAATTGTGTTCACCAAGTATACAAATCAAAATATTATTGAACAAATAACATTACTTGCTTTAGATAGGCTTTCAAATGCACCACCTGGATTTTCTTTACCAGCCTTACAACTCCTTTTGTCATGTATTTATGCAGGTACAATTTAATTTTATCGTTATTCAAATAATTTGATATAATGGGTCCAGATGTTGATTCAAAGTTTCCTGTTAACTATTTCATAGTAATTGTTTATTTTAGCTTAGGAACAAAATGCTTTTCTTTTTTATTGTTTATAAATTAATTTTATACAATATTACAAATAAAAACTTTATCAATGTGAATGCAGTCTATATTCACATTAATATCTGATCATTTATATCTTTTTTTATTTTTTCATAAAAATAGAATATGATTAAAAAAACTATTTATATAAAATGTATATATTTGTATTTATATTAAAAATATATTATTATTAAATTATATCAAATTATATTGGATCAAAAAAGAATTTCAAAATATATTTTTTGCTTAATGAATGTTGGGTGATACATGTAACATTTCTTTTTTAATAATTAAAATATTCAATTTAATGTGGATACCCAAAACTCTGGATCCCACTCTCAATTCAGCCTAGACTGCCATATAGTACTAATTTTTGCTGGATTTGTTTTGAATTACTTATACAACCTATATAATCAATTAAATATATTTGCAGAGCATTACGTAGACAAGATGCAATCTGAAATTGATCCTGATATAATAGTTACAGAAATGGAAAAAGTCAGTATGCTTTTTGAAAGGTAATCATTATTTGGTTAGTTTTCTTGATAAGTAATAAGACATTAAATTTCTATTGTATAATTTTTTTATAATTAGGATTAAAAAAGGAAGTTTATTAGAAGTTGAAATTACTACAGTCATTATGTCTAAAGTCCTTGCTGATATATTTCCAGTATCATATGTCCTTATGAGAGTAGTTGGAGAATTTCTTTCACCTAGTCAACCTCATCCAACCCATATGTGTACTGTTGTTAATGAAGTATGTAACCTAGTACTGTTTTTAAAAAAACTTAAGTTTTGACAAGATAATTTTAATTATAGATTTTTGAAAGATTAATAGAAGAATCTGAATTGGATTTGCTACAAGATTGGGTTATTACATCTTTAAGTAATTTTACCCATGGACTACAGATTCCTATGGCTATATATTGTTTAATTTGTTTCTTCATTAGCTCATCTACTAACAAATGGCTAAGAGCAATGTAATAATGTACTAAGTTATTTATATTTCTCTTATAAATATTTTTAATATTTATAGATTTTCTCATGTGCGACTACGACTAGGACGCTATGAGTATGAAGATAGAAAACTTCTATGCTTAGCTGCTTTAAACTTTTATAACAATGTAACGTTTAACTTAAAAATTTAATATGCAGGCTGATCAATTAAGGATAAAACATTAATTTTCTTAAAAATTATTGAATATTTTCAACTTGTGCAAGGAAAAATCATTGTTTATATTTCAACAGTATAGATCTCAGTGGTTTTTTAGATTTTTAGAATGATAAAATATTTAAAATATACAAATTATAACAAAAAAAATGATTTTATTTTCATAATTAACTATAGAACTCACAAAAAAATGTTCAGAAAAACTTATTTTGTCATAATTAACATACTGTTGTGGTACAATTGACATAATATAAGTGAGACATTAATTTAAGAATTGCCAATAAATACTTAATCCACATTTTTTGATCTTATAATAAATAATTTATTTATTATAAATGATAATATTGCAATATCATATAATTTAACTAAAATTAGGGATTCACATTATAGAAAATTAAAGTTGAGGTTTTTTTTATCCTGAAGAGATGAAAAAAATTATTTAATTACATAATATTGTGGAATTTTTTGAATTAAACAATTGTTACCTTAAGAAAAATTAAAAATTTGCAATAGTTTTCAAGAGGAATGAGTGGTCTTATTTTTAATTGATCACTCTGTATGCACAAGTTATTTTTCACAACATAATATTTATAATAAAAATATTAATATTTTTTCTAGTTATCAAATGATACTCAAAAAAAATTGTACAAAGAATCTTTTCAATCATCAGCCAAGTCAAAAAATCCTTTTGCAGATATTCTTTTATGTTTGGAGTAATTTTTTGAGTTTAAATTAAGAAAAAATTGATATTCTAAGTGTTATATTATTATATTAACATCATACTCATATTAACTATTATGTTTTTATGAATTACTATTATGAACATTTTATATTTTTTCCATACATATTTATGACAAAATTATTCATTTAAATATTATTTTTACTATTTATTTTGTCCATATAATTTATTAAAAAATCCAGAAGGGCATCTAATATTCATATCTGAAACTTGTTGAGAAATATCTTCTCCCAATGGTGCTCTGAAAAATATTATATTCTCAATTATTTTAGATCTTTTACAATGGCTTAAATTTATTTTCCTTTTCATTGATGAGTTCTTTTCATAAAAAAAAAGTTTATTATAACTATTGACAGATAAAATAGTATAAAAAAATATTTACTTAGATTGTATATCAATTTTATTGAAATCATTAGGGTTGTAAATATTTAATTGTTTTTTGAATTTTTCTACTCCATTCCAAGCAATCATTATTCCATTATCAGTACAAAGAGAAGGTGGTGGAACGGTTAATTTATAATTCATTTCATCACACATTGCATTTAGATATTTACGTAAAAACATATTACTTGCTACTCCTCCAGATAAAACCTTATTAACATTTAATGAGAAAATTATATAAAAATTTCAGTATTATTTTAATTATTTGATTTATATACCAGTGTACGATTGCATTTTGGTAACAAATTTGTACGGTCAACAAATTCCATTGCTCGGTGTACTCGTGTACAAATATGTTTAGTAATAGAATATTGGATACTAGCACACAAATCATAGATTTCAGGAATTATTTCATCTCCTTTTAAATCTTAATAAAAACATAAATATCATTATTATTTTGTTATTTTAACTTAATACTCAAGTAAAACTAAAATTTAGTTTATATACCATGTTGTTTTTCAAATTTCAAAATTTGAGTTCTTATACTGTTTTTAATACCAGAAAAACTGAAATTGCAATCTCTATAATTAGTCATGAAGGTCCCCAAGTCAATAGATTTAGCATCGCCTTTTGTAGCGGCTTCTTCAATCGCTTGACCTCCACTACAATGTCTATAATCTTTTATATTTCTTAACTGCAAACGTCTAGCTGCCTAAAGAAATACTATTTTACTTACTAAAAACTTAGTATTAAATTATTAACTTTTATTTTATTTTTACTTTATCTAAAGCTTCACCAGGGGCATCATCAATTGATTGCCCAAGCAACAAAAATTTATTTATATCTTTAACAATTGCCAATAAACAATGACCACCAGATAAAAGTAATACTAAAAATGGAAGTTGTAAGTTCTATAATTAATAAGTAATTATTTTTTCATAAAATATAATTAATATGGTATTAATTAAACAACTAAATACTTTATCTGTTAATCTAGCAGTAAGAGCGTGTGCTTCCATATGGTGTATTGGTATGAGGGGTTTTAATGATAATTGACATATTTTTTTTGCAAAATTCATTCCTACTAAAAGAGATAAAGGAAGACCTGGTTTAACTGTAACAGCAACAGCATCTAAATCTTGTATGTTAATTTTAGCATGTTGTAAAGTTTCATTTACAACATGATCTATGTGTTCTTTGTGTAAATCTCTTGCTACAGGTGGAATGATACCTCCAAAACTAAAAATGCACTATCATTAAATTAATCCAAAATTTAAAATAGATTTTGTTAGTAATGTACTTTAGATGAGTCTGCTGCTGTGAAAAAAGAGATTCACCTAATATATTTCTATTACCGTCAACTACAGCACATCCTGTATCATCACAACTAGTTTCAATACCCAAAATTTTACAAGCTGTATGGTTATGTCGACTGATTTTAGGAAAAACAAAATTCATTTTCAATCTCTTCATTTTTTGTTAAATGTTTTTAATCATGTTTAAATAACAAAATTTAAATCTACGATCTAAATATCAGTTAATCTGAAATTAGAATTTGAATCTGTATTATCAAGTTGATTAATGATTTTGTAAATATTTATCACGTGGGTAAGAATTTATATCAATTTTGAATATCTTATCTATTCTGTGATATTACTGTGACTTTTTAGGGATAATAAAATTTTATTATAATGAAAATTATCTATCAATTAAATTATGACCACAATTTTTTAAGTAAAAGTTTTATAGAAAATTTAAAAAATATTATTCGTGTTAATACTGAAAATTTTGTAACCAAAAACTCATGTTTTGGTCAGAATTTTATTTATATCAGTGTACTATTTGTTTTTTCATAAAATGAGTTATTCTTTTAAAAATGTGTTGTATCGTTTTAATATAAATGTTCGGTACAGTAGTTCGTTAAAAATTAACAGTAAAGTGAGTATCAATTGAAGTAAATTGAATCGTAATAATTTATTAACTTGTTATTTATATTTATTTAGCCTTTGCGCAATCATTTAAAACATAATTCCAAGTTTTTAGATTCATTGCGAATTCATGTTAAAGGAGGAACTGGCGGTTTTGGATACCCCAAATATGGTGGCCTTGGGGGTAAAGGAGGTGATGTTTGTTTAGTAGCTACTGAAGGTTAGTATTAATATAAATCGTTTTATTTTTTATTAAATATGCGTTGTTACATTATTGTTTTTTATGAATGATATTATTTTTTTAGAAAATTAAATAAACATTTTACTTTTTGTTTTAATTTAACACATTATTATAGGTATGACACTTAAAGAATTTTTAACTAAATATCCTCATAAAAAGTTACAAGCTGAAACAGGTGGCAATAGTCATTCCAGACGTATACTAGGATTAGTTGGACAAGAAAAAAAGGTTAATGTTCCCATAGGTATTTCTGTGTATGATGACAATAATAGATTGATTGGTCAGTATTAAATTTTTTCTTGGTATTTCTAATTTTGAGGAAAAATCTTCAATATGGGCTGTATTTTTCTTTAATTATATTTAAAGATTTAAAGTAAACATAATATGTTATTTGTTATGATATATTATATCATAACAAATAATAATGATGAAATAAGCATTTTTAATTTTAATTGATTTGTAATTTGGTTTGCTAAGAAAATTTAACTTGACTTATTGATTAATAATAAAGCACTTTTCAACAAATTTTGTAGAATAGATTTGATATAATTTCTCTTTTCATAGAAGTAATTCAAATTTTACCTTAACCAATTAAGTATTATAGCAGTATATTAATTATAATTTAATAAATGTAAGACTTTTAAAACACTTTTTGTTCAGTCATTATATTAATCCATTAATATAAATAATTTTTTTTTTTAACGTGGTAAAAAATACAATTAATAAAGATGATTTATCCTTTTTTTTTATACGTATAATTTACATTTAATTACATTTATTGTGTTGAATAACTAGGTGATTTAAATGAAGATAAATCAGAGTTAATTGTTGCTAAAGGAGGAGAAGGAGGTTGTAAAGTAAATGGCTTCTGTGGTAAAAAAGGAGAAAGCCGATCTATCAAACTTGAATTAAAGCTCATTGCTGATGTTGGTCTAGTTGGCTTTCCAAATGCTGGAAAATCCACTTTACTTAAATCTATTTCAAATGCTAAAACAAAAATTGCATCTTATCCTTGTAATTAATTTGTTAAGCATGAATTTTTAATGTTATATTTATATTAATTTTATCATAAATTATTTAGTTACCACACTCAGGCCAAATATTGGTATTATGTCTTATAAAGATCTACGCCAAATATCCATGGCCGATTTACCAGGACTTATAGAAGGTGCTCATTGTAACATTGGAATGGGTCACAGATTTCTGAGACATGTAGAACGTACTAAGTTATTACTTCTAGTAGTTGATATCAATGGTTTTCAGTTGAGTCCTTTAAAAAAGTTTCGGTCATGTTTGGATACTATAGTACTACTCAACAAAGTTTGTTTTGATCTTTGTTAATTTGTATTGATTACATAGTCTAAAATGATTAATTGTAATTTTCAGGAACTTGAATTGTATAAAGAAGATTTATTAGAAAAACCAGCTATGCTACTTATTAATAAAATGGACACTGAAGGTGCTAAAGAAAAATATTTAGAAATTCAAGAAAAAATAGAAAATTTAAATGGTTAATTAATTTTTTATTTCTATATAAATTAATTTTTAATATAATTTTTTAAACTAATTTTAGATGCTATTTATTTATATCCTGAAGATGTAAGACCAAAAAAAGCAATAAAGTTTGATGAAATTTTACCAATCTCAGCAAAAAATGAACCAGGAGATATTGAATATGTTAAAACAATTATTCGCGATATTTTGGATATCAAAGAAGAAATAAATAATGTTACTGATAATAAGTCATTGAATAAACTTAAAGATAGTTTAAGAGAACGAGGGCCTGTATTAGTGTAAATGCCTTTTTTAAATTCTATTTTCGTTTTAATTATTGTTATAAATATTTTCATGTAAATCAAATATATGGGTTTATATTGTATTAATAGTTATTATTTTAGCTTCGATGCAAAGCTGAGAAGGTATTGGTTTTACTATGATTTTTTTATTTTTTTTTTTTGTGTCTGTTACCACTTTTTCTCAGCTCTCACCGAACGGATTTCTTTCAACGATACGTCAAAAGATCACAAATCGTATCTAGTCGAAGACATTACCCTTCAAAATTGAAAAAATTTCCCTCGTTCCCCGTAAATGGGGGAAACCTCCAAAAAAATTACAAATTTAAAAATCGCTAATTTTTGAAATTTTTTCAATTATTTTTACTAAAAACTGCCGTAACTTTTTCAAAAATGAACATTTGAATATAATTCTTTTTTTTATAGATGATTGATATCTTTATCTATCGTTTGGTATATTTTTTTTGTAAATTTGACCTTTTGTCTGCCCACAGGGGGGGATTTAAAATGACAACTTTTTCACAAAAAATTAGCTTTTTCAACTTAACTTTTAAAAATGTTCCGGAAGGTCTGACACTTTTATATATATATCTTAAATTAAAGCTAATGTAATGTACTTTAATTTGAAAAAAAAAAATTTGACCTCTGGACTTGTCTTCATGGTGAAAACGGCTACCAAATGCTATTTTTGTGTGAAAATTTTCGATTTTATAATTTACATTTTTTACTTTAAAGTGCTATAACTTTTTAAAAAATGTATGGATCAATACAATTTTTTATGAGAAATAATATTTTTTAATAATCTCTTTTTTATTTGACATACTATATCTTAATCAGGATATTAATAAGGAACTAGCTGATCATGTAGCTTTTGGAATAATACACCAATTTTTTTAAATTAAACACTATCTAAAGATTTGCATCGAAGCGTTTTTTTTTTTTATAGTGATTTTAATCACTGTCAGATATCATTATACTTGATCCAACTATGCCACGTTACCACTGTGCCGCGACCCCCCTGTGCTGGGTTTTTTTATTTTAATTTAGAAGTATAATAAAAAATTGTATGAAAAAAACTTAAGGGATCAGAGATTTCTTTTATTACAGTTTGACCCCTAAGCTTCCTTTATACTTGTTTATGATTTTATCCATTGTTAAAATGCTGTTGATATTTTTTTCACCTTTCATACCTTTTGTTAATTTAAATAATTTAGCCAATATTATTTTTCTAATTATTTGTATGAAAAATAATGTAATAGTTATAGATATCCGATAAAAAATTTAATAATAATTTTAGGTAGTGTAACTTCCTTATTATCTTGTTGATTACCTTAATTATTTGATAATTTGAGTAACTTAAGATTATACAAACATAGTTAACTCAAATTATACATAAGTACCTTAAGGTAAAACAGCAAGCTATTAAATTAGCAAACTAAATTCTTGCAAGTGTGATTCCAAACAATAATAAAAAAGAAAATATTTCATCAATTTAAGCAAACCGAATTGGTAAACAAACGAAGTACTTAGTTAAGGTTTCATTATAAATATCTGAGTACCTTTTAAAGCTTTTATGACAATTTTCATACAATGGTTTTATTATAATTAAAAATAAATTTAAATCTATATAAAGAAATGTTATAAAAATGTACAAATATTCAAAATTTACTAGAATTTCGATTATTATAAAATTGGAACGTTGAATCCAGAACTGTATTTTAGATTTTGGCACCCAAAAACTACATCATTTTACCACCCTTCAATTTATTTTGCTCGTAATTTCTTATTTATGATGTCTTTAAGTTTAACATTTTAATGTCTCAAAAGTAGAAGAATAAAAAACATGAAACAGTAAACATTTATTATTTATAATTAAGTCTTAAGGCTAATTTTAAAAAATGTAAAAAAATAATACGAACTGACCGTGTTTTGAATTAAATGTTTGTTGATTTCGATTTAAATTGTCTTTAAGATGTTAAAGAAAGCTTTTGCTTTTTTGAAACATCCTCTCAATATCGCCTTGATTAATTTTATGTATAATAGATAAGAATCCTCAAGAAAATGTATAAATTTTCGTAACATCTTTTACCATTTTAAAATAATCATTACATTCTTTTTTATCGCCTTTATTCCAACTACTTGGGGTCGCCCACAAAATAATTAATATACTGCAATTTTTAATTTTTACCATCATAAAAATATCATTTATGGCAAAAAAGAAAAGTATAGAAAACAAAGCGTTTTAACTATACTTTTGCATATTTCGTCTTGAATTTTAAAAATAGACTTATTAGTCGGTAACAGCCAAAAAAATTCTACTCTAACCATTTAAAGAACATGGTGACATAATATGCGAGTATTTTCTTTACCTTACTACTCAGAACATTTATTAGTTTATTGGTGACATTTTTTTCAAAGTAGAATTGCTAATTCGATTCAATGTAAAAAATGTTTGAAATAAACTAATTTATATGACTGTTCTTATATTAAACTCTAAAATTATTGTATATTTATTTAATTAGAGTTGTATAATGCTAATATAAAATTAAGATTAAAATTATTATTATGCCTGACTATCTTATTTAACTCATTGAAAATTAAAATTCAATGAATTATTGATTTTTATTTTGTAACTTAGTTAAATCAGTCGCGGTTGTGTGGGGGGCGTGGTGGTAGGTCAAAAGTCGTTTATAATCGCCACTGCTTAGTTAATAAATTTTGTTGTTGAATTTGGTCTCAATTTATATTATACCTATGTTATAATATTAGCTAATGTACTTTAGTACAGAAATTATAAAAAACATTTTGGCAAAAGAAAGAGACAGACCAATGTTATTTTTAACTCAATTGTGTATCGCCATTGACATAGTATTACGTCTATAACATTTAAATTTCAATATAATTGTTTAACCCATGAGTTTAAAAACCTCCTTTTACAAATACTCTTCATTGATGATTTGATTTATAAACTGAGTAGAGAATAATTAATTTGAATGGAAATAAAATAATCGGTAATTATTATTGAGTATTAATAAAATCTTCAAATATTCAAATGTTTATCAAGCATAATAAATATTAACAAATAATTCCTGTTGCTATGAGTAGTTAATTGAGTCTGTAAATGCGTTTTTACGGTATTTTCATTTGCTGTTTTATTTTGATGTTTTTAATCGTATGGCTTCGAGAGGATGCGTTTAAACGTATATTTTCCACTCTAATTTTGTCCCTTGGCTACTGCCATATGATGGTTTTTTACGATCTTCAGTTGCTGGCAGTCGTATTCGAGATGCCGCAGTTTCCTTATATTTAATTCTCTTTTTAACATTGTTTGATTTGTATATTCCGAAAGAACTTTTTATCAATTTACAATAGAGATATTTTCATATGTGAAATTAAATTTTGGTATCGAAACTTTTTAATTTATTTCATTGTGTAATTCGCAGCTGTTAAAAATATAATATGTGGCGTTTTTCAAAGGATATTTAGTAGTGATAATAATCGTACCTATAAAACTAGAAGCAATCGTGAGACAACTTATTCGTAAGTAGGACATTATTAAAAAAATAAAATTATGAAATTAAGTCTGGTCATGCAGATTGATACAATATTCTTATTTCTTTTGATTTGACTCATCTATTTTAATACATTAAGACCATCTGTTATTTAAAGCACAACATCTTATTTCCTTATTTTTTCAAACATTAAGAGAAGAAAAACTTTTTTTTATTTGATGAAGACATTAAAAAGCAGCTCTTAAACTTGTGATAAAATTGAAATTTTCAATGCACCTGACTGGGTACCTTGAAATGGGTTCCCATCTTAAGAAATCCGCTTCCATAAAAAAGTGATAAGAAAAACAAAAAATTCATTTAAGTCAATGGATTTCGATACTCGCCATATAGATCTCTCATTTTATCTAGTCCTGCTAGTAGAACAATTTAAATGTTAATTTTTTGATTTTATAATTTTAATTTGCACAAAAAAAAAGTTTAAATGATCTCTTTGGTTTACAGAATCGCAAGTTTATCAGTGTTTGGATTTTTTGGTTAAAAAAAAACAACTGTATTTTTTGATTATAATGGTTAGTTATGGTATTTGATTTACGCGATTTAGTTCAAAATTAAGTAAAAGTTTTGGTAAAAAATACAAAAGTTGTAATAAAAATATTTAATGTATCTTATCATAACTCTCATCTCAAATTTTCATTCGGAAGCGGATTAACATGCATTTACAATTTGTATTAACAGGATTGAAAACTTGTTAATATGTGATCTAACTGGGGTTATTGTAGTGTTAGGATGTTTAGGAGGGTTTATTCTCTAAAAAGTATTTCAACAACAAATTCGCACAAACTTGATTCCTTTTAAAATGGCTCAACCAAAATGAATAAACGTATATAAATTTTGTCTCTACTTATAATTGTTTAAATGAAATTTTCCAATTCGGTGGTCATATTTTAAATTGACAAGTAACATTTATGAATTAAAGATGTATAAAATAATATATTAACTAATTTCCTAATAATTATTATATTATTATATTTTAAATTTAATTGTTTGTTTAAAAAATTATATATATATATATATTAGTAAATATTATTAAATGACAGTTATTCTCTTTCTATAAGTATAACCAGTGAAAATAATAGTGAATGTTTTTTATTTGAGTAATTTATAATAAACTTTATTTTATCATCGTACTCTGTTCACTTATATAAAATTAAATATAATTTATTTAAAAAAATATTAAAGCTACGTTTTTTAAACATGTCTATACATAATTTCCATTGCTTCAAGATCGCAAATTGAAATTCATGAAATAAATTAATTCAAATGTCATCAATAATGGTATATTTAAATATTTTAGAGATAAAACTAATATTTTACAACATTCTGCAAATTGATATTTTCTTACTTTTTTAAAAAAATTAGTCTTTTAGCATTTGTTCATTAATTTTTTGCTATGATTGTTTTCTAAGAACTATAATTTTTTTTTCATAATTTATGAAAAACAGTGAAAATAGTTATATTATGTTTAAACTCTTTTTAAATGTAATATACGTTATAATTGTAAAAATTCGCGATTT